TCCTTCACTGTGAAGAAGGTTTTATTTCATGAGATCCGTTTGGCAGTTAGTCTTTTATTTCCAGGGCTACTGCGTTCCTCTTCAGAAAACCATGACCTATGCCTGTCTGCTGATGTATGCGCCCTTCTATTCCTCCAACAGTTTTAGAAGATCACATCTTATATTAAGGTCCTTGATGCATTTGCAGTTGAGTTTTGTACATCATGAGAGATGGGGCTGAGTTTCATTCTTCTGCATGTTTATATCCAGGGATTTTCAACACCAGTTGTGGAAGATATTATCCTTTTTCCAAAGTGTGTTTCTGGAATCTCTGTCAAAAATGAGGTAATTATTTTTCTAGAATAATATTCATGGCCTTCTGTCCCATTGATTTATGTGAAATTTTTCTATGAAATGTTTTATTTATTTAATTTTAAAAATTAGGAAATAATTTGTAGAGTCATAGCTTTTCTTCTACATTATCACTGAAACATAGTACTGGGTTAGAAATCCGGTGGTTTTTAAAGAATTCAACAGGCATCATGTGTATCTTTCTCATTCACAATTCTGGCCATGTATAAGCCTGTCCTGGTCTCCTGTCTGGGGTAAAACAAAGGGCCCTGGAATGTAAAGAGAGCGGAGACAGTAGCCAATCCGGTAGGTTTTAGTGAATGAATTTGGGGCCCAGGAGAGATCTTAAGTAAGGAAGAATAAAAACACAAAGGTTTTGAGTTGTTGTGAAGTGCTTCACCAGAGAAGACTGATCAGACAGTGTTTTGCAGAATGAAAGTCTTGCTGGCCAGCGACTACACAAGGGTGTCTGAACCCATGTGTATAACCTGAGCCATCTCTAGGGTAAGTTTGTATACCCAACTTGGGAAGTTAAAAAAAATCTCTGTTTTGTGCGCGAGAGTCCGTCTAGACTCATTCGGGGTCCAAGCTTTCTCATGCCGCTCCTATGCTGATTCTTAATAATCTTTGTGACCTCATTATTCATCATAGGGTATAGTTTATAGAGGCATTGTTTGGAGGATAGCCCTTTTTCAGGCACATTTCCTGTCTCTCTGTAATTCTTGTTGGCCATGGCATTTGATGTCTTTTTTTTCACTGTATATTTTTAATTAAATTTTTCTGAGTTTCATACAATTCATCTTAATCATATTTAGAACTCCCCTGTCTGCACCACCCCACAGACTGTCCACAGGATTTTACCCGTTCTGTCTTGTATGCTAAGGACTTTCAAGTCAAGTGTGTGTAACTGCACCTCTCTTGGTGTGAGTTCATCCAGGGGTGCCTATTCAACCTGTCTAGTCTCACTTCCTCAAGGAAGCTCTACTCTCCCACAACCAGCAGTCATCAGCTGCCATGGCTCCTAACCTAAGTTCTGGGCTTCCCCTTTGTTTCCCCAGTTCTGTGCTGGGCTTTTATCTGCTCGAGTTTGCAGAATCTAGTGCATGCTGTCCCCATTGCTGTGAATTCATATGAGCAAATTCCCAGGACCCTGCAAGACTCTGATTCCTTATGATCATGCATACACCTTGCTCTTACAGTTTTTCTGCCCCAGCTTCTCAATGGCCTGTGATGCCTTTTTGGATGAGGACTTAATACAGGAGTCCTGTCCATGGACACACACTCTGCAGTCTCTTATTGTCTTTCTTTGGTCTGTTGTGGTCTTCTGGGTTCTTCGTCCTCTGTTGCTTGAGAAAACAGCCATGATAAGAGCTGAGAGGTGCATTAGTATTATCTTTACACTTGTCCCACTATGTTCCATGAGGTTTAGGTGTAGAGGTTCTATTGCAGATTTGTCACTTTGGTTTGGTCTTCTCACAGACACGGATTCTCTGTGTGTGGCCAGTTTTTGACTCTGTTGCAAAAGAAGATTCTTTGATGAGTGGTGGCTGATATACTTTTCAACAAATGTAAGAATCCATTAATGAAATATAGTAAGAAATTACATTTTCCTAGGGATTGGACAGATGGAGGGTTTTCTCTGGGGTCCATGACCACTCCACCTATGTGTATTGGTGTGTACAGTACGACCAATTAGATACCTGTTGATTACTGGGCACCACTGTAGTTTGCTGTGCTGATCATTGCTGCGGTTATTACTCTTTACAGCTAGGATTAGATCATTGATTGTTTTTTCTCCATTAGCAGCTTGCATGTTTTTATTTTATGAGTATTGCACATGTGTATGTGAGTGCACCCATGGCGTAAAATGCCTGGGGAGGACAGAAGAGGACATCAGATCCTCTGGAACTGGATGGTTGTCTGCCATGTTGGAGATAGAATTAGAACCTGGGTCTTCTGCCAGAAAAGCCAGTGCTCTTATCCACTGAACAGTCTCTTAGGGACCTCCATATAAAGGTTAATATTACCTCTCCATATCTGTGAGGAATGGCCCTGGAACATTATCTTAAATTTTTGTATTTATTTACTTTTATTTTATGAGTAATTTGCTTGTATGCATGTCAATGTACCCATGCATTCAGTGCCTGTGGAGGCAATAAGAATATATTAGATCCCCTGGAACTTAAATTATGGATGGCTGTTAGCAGCCCTGTGGGTGCTGGGAACTTAACCCAGGTCCTTCGGAGGAAAAGCCAGTACTTTTAACTATGGAGCCATCTCTCCAGCTCTGGCCCTAGAATTTGGATTCACATGGGAATAAAACTAAATTGCTTTTGGTAGGATGACCATTGGCACAAGATTAATTCTTCCAATCCTTGATGTTGGATAGTCTTTTTATCTTCTCACATTTTCTTCATTTCTTTGTTCAGAGTCTGGATGCTATCAGTGTAGACTTCTTTCATTTCCAGGTTTAGGCTTAGGTATTTTATTTTTGGTGTGGCCATTGTAAATGGGATTGTTGCCCTGACTTTTTTTCTCTATACATGTCAGTGGTACATAGAAATTCAGTGAATTTCAGTGGTACATAGAAATTCAGTGAATTTCAGTGATCCTCAATTTCTTGAGGCCTGGTCTGCTTCCAATCTTGGGGTCTGTTTTGGACAAGGTTTCATGGGCTGCTGAGAACTGGTATCCTTCTGTGTTTGAGTGTAATGCCCGTAGATGTCTTTTTGATGCATTTGATTTATAGATTCATCCAACTCCAATGTTTCTCTGTTCATTGTCCAGATGACCTGTCTCTTGGTGATAGTGAAGTATTGAAATCTCCCACTATTAATGTGCTGGGTTTAATCTGTTGTTTTTCATCTAGTACTGTTTTTTTTTTTAAATAAACTGGAGAATGTGTCTTTGGTGTGTATATCCTTAGAACTGTAGTGTCCTCTTGAGCAATTGTTCCCTTAATGAGGATGAAGGGACGTTGTTCATCTCTTCTGCTAAATTCAGTTTCAAATCTATCTTGTCTGTTATTTGAGTAGATATGCCTGCTCGTTTCCTAGTTCCATGATGGAGTAGCTTTTTTCCATCTCTTTATCCCAAGGTGGTGCCTCTCTTTGCTGGCAACACGTGTTTCTTTGAGGCAGCAAGTAGATGGCTCCTCTTCCCTAATCCAATCTGCTACACTGTGCCCTTTTACTGCAAGAATTTGTGACCATTAATATTCAGAGTTATTTTGTATTAACTCCTGTCCTTTTGTTGATTTTGTTCTGTTTTCTTAGGTCCTCCTGAGGAATAGTTTTGGCATTCTGTTTTTGCCTGTGACATCTGCATGAGTTTATCCCTATCTTCTGTTCCTAGTATTCCTTCCAGTATCTTCTTTAGAGCAGACTTAGTGGTCATATATTCCTTTAGTACCTGTCATGAATGTTAGGATTTGGAGGCACAGAACCCCCTCCCCATCCCCAACAGGGCTTCATGGGTTCTGCAAGCCAGTGAGATAAGCACCCTGGTCTTTGAAATCAAAAGCAGACGTTTCTGCAGTTTGGCCAGCACAGCAGGCTTCCCCTTTGATCTCAAAAGGGGGCGCGTTTCAATAGTCCTGCTCTCCTGCTCTCCCCTTCAATCTTTAAAAAATATATCTTCCCACCTTCTGCACTCCCTCAACCCGCCCCCCCCAATAAAAGACCCCAGCTCACAACCTGTTGGCTGACATTTTCCCCTACCCCAGAAGGGAACCTGTCCCCTGCGAGGCTTCCTTTGCTAATAAACTGCTTTCTCCTGATCAACCCGATTCATCTCCCTGCTTCATCTATGAATGAAAACCTATTACTTCTGTTTCAGTAGTTTTGTGACGTGTAACAGTGTTGGCAGTTGTGAAATAAAAATCTTTCCAAGACCTTCGGACTTTAAAAGTTTCGGTTGAATAATCTGTTGTTATTGTGCTGGGTCTGTCTGTGGGGGACTTGGTCTTCTTTCTTGCACCTTTCAGTACCTTTGTTTAGTCTGTGTCATTGGTGTTGTGACGATGATGTGCGGTGGAGAGTTTCTTTTCTGGGCCTTTCCGTTTGATGTTCTGTTGGCTTCTTGTATTTAGCTGGATAACTTTCTCTGTAGATTTGGGAGACATTTTTGTGTGATTGAATTTAAAATGTTATTCATTCCTTTGTCCTGTAGTTCTTCCCTTTCTTCTCTGTCCATAATTTGCAGGTTTGGTATTTCAATGCAGTCCTAAAATTCCTGCATATTCCTTGTCTGTGAGTTTTTAAACAGGAATTTTCTATGCTTTACATAAAAGCACTTCTTTGATTTCTGCAAGGCCAACTAGTTAGGAAAATGGTAGGACGACCCTCTTCTGGTGACTCCTGAACATAGGAGGAAGAATTCAGGCCCTGGTAAGTCAGCAACCAGCTTCCAGCAACAATTCCTGAGATAGCCATTTCCTGGTAAAACTTAGGCCAGAGTGGGCAGGGCCAGAGCAGAAGCTCAGACTCGTCAACTTCCGGCTGGACTATCGGAACAAGGGGGTTCTGAAAACTCTGCAGGGACCTAGGGAGCACTCCACTCAGGTGCAGCGTGGTGCTGAACAGGTGGAGGGTGAGTCCTGACTGGTCTCAGCTGGATGCAAAAGTTCACCCCAGCCACGGGAACCACGTGGAGCGGTTGGTGCAGAACGGATGTGGGGTGAGTCCGGGCGGGACCGGCAGGTGGGAGGAGAGTCCGGACTAACCGCAGCCGCCGGAAAGACTCCTGGTCATGTGATCGGAGTGGCCGGGACCCTCTGCATTCAGAGTTGGGGGCTCGGAACAGAGGCAGGTCCGTGAAACTCACCCGGGATTTAAGCTTTGTTCTTGCTTATCTACAGCAGTCTCAAAATTCGGTTGCAGATATTTGGGTATGTTGGCATGTGCATCCTCTCAGATTTAGACTATTAAAGGTTACTGTTAGGGTTGCAAATAGCAGCTCCCCCCCTCCCCAACAGGGACCTACAAACTCTGCTGAGAAGCAGCCTGCCTTTCCTCTGACCTCCAAAGATAAGATAAGCAGAGTTCCTCTTATCTTGAGGAAAAAGAAAACACTTCCACACCCTAATCCTACCTGCTTCCCCCTCCCTGATTCCACACCCTAAAGCCCCCATATGTAAAGTCCCAGCTCACAACCCGTGGACATCTTTCCTGGACATCTTTCCCTGACTCCCTTCCCCCTTCCCCCTTCCCCCTTCTCCCTTCTCCCTTCCCTTCCCTTCCCTTCCCTTCCCTTCCATCTTTCCCTTCGTGGACATCTTTCCCTTCCTGAAGGAAAGGTGCCCCTGTGCGAAATAAATCTGTGTCCCACTGAGAATTCCATCTGTGCCTCGGTGCCTTCATCTATCCGCTCGTGCTCTCCATCCGCGCCGCTTGCTCCCGCCCATTCTCTACCTATGAGATGGTGCCGTGACTTGGATCTTACTTGAAGGGACCTCGCACGTAAAACTTTCGGACTCGCTTGTCGTTACTGGCCTCTGCGAACACCACTAATTCTGCATTAAGGTACACTTCCAGCCTCTATCTCTCTCCCCTCTCCCATTCCTTTCAGCTCTCTTTCTCCCTCTCTCTCCCCTTTCCCCTTCACTACTCTCTGCCAGTTCTCTTTTCATCTCCTTTCCAATCAAATTCAGTCACTCCCGGACCTCACTCACGGCCACTGGACAACACTGGTTTCTGCGACCGTTGAACTGCCCAGCACAGTTACTGTGTCTGTCCACGCCCACCTGGGAGTCAGCCCTGCCTCCCCGTCGCACTCAAATCCTTTTCCCTACCTCAGCTCCCTTCCCTTCCTCGCTCCTGCCATCTTTTGCTTTCCCCTAACATCTCATCCTCTCTCTCTCTCTCTCTCTCTCTCTCTCTCTCTCTCTCTCTCCCTCCTCTCACTTACTTCTCTCCTCTGAGCTTCATCTAGGCCTCTCCATTCTTCTCCATTCCCAGCCCATCTCGGCCTCCAGGCCCACTACCTTGTTTCCTTCTACTTTGGCTCCTACTGGCTGGTCACGCACCACATTGCAGAACCTCTCCTAACTCGTTTTTGCTCGCTCGAAATCACACCAGTGTGTGGGAGGTTCTGCCCTGCCTTTCACTACAGGACACTGTGGTCACTGGCGGGGACACGCACAACTCGTATTCCCCCCCCCAGCGATTGCAGGATGCTGCCCTGGGGTTCGGGAATTTAACTCGAATCAGCAATAAAAAAAAGGATGCTTTTCTTTTGTTGCCTGATTCTTCTCGTTCTCATTTTTACGTGACCTAAGCCAAACCTTTCTCTTCCTGCTTTCTCTCTCTCTCTTTCTCTCTCTAGAAAGAGAGAGGAACCTTAAACCATGATTCAGGAAATCAAGAGATTAGTCTTCATTTTTGTTGT